AACCACCTCATCCACAAGAGCCTCAACATCGACAGGAACCACAACATTAACAGGAACCACAGCATCCACACCAAGCACAACATCCACAAGAACAGCCATGTTTGGATCATTCCCTATCTTCGTCCCAGGACGTCAAGCCGGGCAACATCCTGGTGGCCAACGGAGGTGGCCGCGTGGTTCTGGCGGACCTGGGCCTAGCCCAGCAGATTCCGGAGGGGAAGAGCGAGGTGCCGCTGATTGGCGGCTCCCTTGGAGCCTCGGAAGATCCAAAATGGCAGGGTGGAGGTTCCAGAAGTGGGTGTCCTTTTGGCTTCCCGGCTAAAAGCCAAGCAAAAAAGGGGAGGGTAAGGCATGGGAAGCCGCAAAATGGGGGGGGGGGGGGTTCCTTTTGGTGTCCCGAAAGGATATGGTCGGAAAAGGGTGTGGCAGGTATGGCAGGTATGGCAGGTATGGCAGGTATGGCTAAAAACCAAGCAAGAAAGGGTATGGCAGGTATGGTCAGAAAAAGCCAGACCCACTTCATTCAGATGTTTCCCACTCATACTTTTCGGAGAAATCCTAGAACGAACTAGGAAAACCATGGGCTAGGCTAGTTGGCTCACGTCACATCTTCCCTATTCTCACAAATCTTCCGCCGTCTCTGCCACTTGTTTGCTTTCTCTGTACCGAAGCTTTGGGTCAGGCTGCTTGAAATTGGCAACTAGTAAGTGTTGCAGTAGCGTTCCATCCCCCACAAACTGAATAGCACCCTGTAGCCCTCGAATTGGCTCACATCGCGCTCGCTCGTGGGCGTTAAAAACTTGCGTGGGTGATTTTAGCGGCAGACAAAGCAAAGACTGTTAAGGGCCGGTCCACTCGGGCAGTGACAGGCACCAGGGCAACAAGCGTGCACGACCAAATAACCTTGCATAGCTCACTTTACACCCCCAAGCAATTCAATGGCCACGTGAAAACATGACAAACGCACGTGGCTCTCCATTTCTGCATCTTTCAGCCCGAAAGACCCAACCGGAACAAGGATCGTGTTGAGGCTACTGGCTTGGCAGTCGGTTCGTGGGACTTTGGGGTGAGCCTTGTGAACCTTTTGTCACACCTGAGCCACTTGCTCAAAACCTGGGTAGATGAAGGCTAGTAAGGGACAATCCCAGCCATAAATAGTTGCGGCCGCCTTCGTATTTCCTGAAGCATGGTTCTGGGTCAACCATTTTAATACCGGGTTTTGATTGTGTCATACCTTGTGTTGAGAAATGACAGGGACCCCTTCCAGGGCGGTAGACTTGTGGGGGCTCCCTTTGTTTTCCTCAGGGGTCAAAGCATTCCACATAGCCGTTCTCACACCACCAGCTATCCGTGAAACGTAGGAACGGTCACTTGTTTTCACATTTGTTTTTGTTCCCAGACCCCATGGCTTTGCAGCCCAATCGGGCCAGGTCAAGCATTGCAAATGACTCCCAGGCGTCGCAATTTGCGAGTTGTCTGGAACCCGACAGCATCGGTTTTCCGTTTGGGGATAAGAGAAGGGCCAAGCTGAAAGCCTTGCTGACAGCCAGGCTTAAGCCCAAGGAGAGTTCCCAGCCTCCCAGAAAAGCTGCCCAGCCGCCCCATTCCCAGGATCATAGCTGTTACTGAAGAACTGGCTGTGGGTCAAAAGTAGGGCAACCCCAAAATGGAACCCTGGTAAGTGGAAACATGGACTAGAACCTGCGGTCCATATCCTGGTGGCTTAATTTTGACCCATACCCAAATGAGACTCAGGATACCTGGCGCCGGAATGCCTCGAGGAGAAGGTCTACCGAAAGTCTTCGGACATATTCGCACTGGGCGCGGTCATGTATTTGCCCCTTGAGAGGGAAGGGGACTGTGCCGACCGCAGCTTTGCGACCTGAAACTACAGGAGGGTCCATTTTAAAGACATTAGACAATATGTCTGTGTTTGTCACGACACACAATCGGTTGTCGAACAGGAATTACACGTGCATCAAGGGTCGAAGAACAGTGTGAGCAGATCGGCCCTGGACACCAGAAAAATGCAGTCTGCGCCTTTTTGTTCGTGTGTCTGTTCTAGGAGGCTCTTTACAACTGTCTCCGGAAACTGCGCTTTCCTTTTTCGCTGAGCAGGTTGGCGGAGGAATGGTAATTCATTGAAAGGTTCGGAGTGCTTGGAACGTTTTGACACGAAAGGCTTTGGCATGGATTGCAACTTGATCTGACATCTGAACAAGTCCGAATATGTTGAGCGTGACAAACGTTGGGAACATTGCATCGTTTGGAACATTAAGACTCTTTGGGAGGCTTCAAAACGCTGTCTACCGCCTCAAACGTTTCACACATTTGAACTTTGAATAGGTTCGGGCGTTTCGAATGCAGACCTAAACAGTGCAAACCGTTCGCATTGGGGCAGCCTGGCTTCCACGCTCGAAACACCAATCATTACCAATGTGAAAACCAGAGCCAGGATTGATTCAATCCGCACTGTTTCTACAACCAGTGCTAATGGGTAGATGCTGTTTCAACATGGGGTGTGCACGGCTTAAATACTGCGCGCAAACAGAAGGGAGCCCAGCATTTCCCGCAATACCCGGTGAAAACCGCGGATTTCCATTCTCACCCTGACTTATTTTAACTTAACGGTTTAGATGCACCAAGTCTGTGCTTTTGGAATAGCATGCTCAATGAGAAATGTACAGCGAAGGACATCGCTGTGGTACTAGTACTTTGCAATAACAAGGTGGGAGTGTCATCGAATCCATCGGACACTTTTTTCGGGATTCCAGCGCCCACTCACACAGGTGTGCCCCACAACCCAGCAAGTGTCCCACAACCATCTGAATGTGTTGTGCCAAAACAGGGTTCTGGCGCTGTGGGCCCTGCGCAGGCTTAAAGTGGTAGTGACGCCACATCATTTGAACGCACCCTCCCAAACATGGATAGTGTTTCTGCATCTAAAAGCTGAAAGCTGCTGTTCTCGCCGCAACACAAACACACTGTCTGTAGCTGCAAGAGAATGGGTCTTTGCCGTTTGTAGTCTGATCCTTGAGGCAGTTTGCCGAGCAACGCGTAGACAAAGCTGCAGTCTGGACATCTCAGCCTGTGGTTCTTGAATGAATTGATTGCTTGAGCACTGACCGTGCCCATTGGGGTCTTGGGTGTCGGTCATGCAAACAGATCTGTGCACCCAAAAGGCTGCGCAAGAATCCGTTACAGTCTGATACAAATTGGTGACAGTCCGTCAATCTCAGTCAACGTGCAACGCCTCAAAGTTTCTGAGTCTCGGTGAGTTTCCCAAGCCAAGCAGAACGTGATGATTCACCTTTGCTCCGCTGAGAAAGGCTGGTTCGGTTGTCTTTTCATGCAGGCCCTGAAAAAGAGAAGGTCGCTGAGGTTGTAATCTTTGATTGCACCCTTCCTGAGAATTGTGAACTTCTCCAACAATTCTCCGAAATCCGGACGTCCAGTCACTCCCAAAACATTCGAACCGCTCCGTTCGAAGCGGCTCCTTCCTTACGGCCTGGACCACAGATGTTATCCGCTACCTCAGAGGTGTTCGTTCAAACATGGGTTCAATTTTATCCGTTAGCGCAGAGGTTTTCTCCCCAGACATGGGTTCAATTGACGCAGGTCTGCCCTGTCTTTCTGCCAAGACTCTAGGGATACCTTCTTTCTTACCAGGGATCCTTCTTTCTAGAAAATCTCCGAAGACCCAAAACACGTATCCGGTTCTTGAAAAGAATGATGGTTGAAAAGAATGGAAAAGGAATCAAGCCCTATCAAACCTGACCAAAAAAAACTGAGTTGAGGAACTCCTCAATGCCCCCTAAGGAACCCATGGGGGAATCAACTCCTAGAAAGACACCTTAGACATCGCCGAGGCTCTTGTTCCGCACCCCGGCGTTCCTGCGATCCACGAAGCCCGAGACCCGCGTGGCCACTCTCATTGGCCAGCTCCCTTTGCTGCCCTGCGGCAAGGCGCTGCTTGGGCACTGGGCGGCTTGGGTGACTTGGAGTGGGAGACCCCCCCCCAGTGCGGATTGGCAGCTTGGGTGACGTCTGGGAGACATAGGTGTCCTTTTAGATAAGTTTGCTTCGAAATATATAGATGGCACTGGTGCAGATAGGTTTGCTTTTCTATTTACCAGGGCCATTTATTTTACCAAATGCCAAAAGGACACCCAATGGGAGGCCCCCTGAAAGTGCTGGGCGTGTTCTGGCAAGCCCGGAACAGCCCCCAAAAGTGTACCGACTTCAAGACCCCCCGAAGTGGCAATGTACTCCTTTTGTTGTGTCGGGGGAGCAGCTTCAAGAATGGTTTGCGGTTGCCGCGACATGTAAAAAATTGAATAGTCAAGTAGTTGTAGGCGTCTGTTTTTGGACCCCTCTCCCATGGAGCCACAATGGGCAGTGCACGCCAGTTGGTCCATCAACTAGGGGTGCATACATCTGGCGAGGTCAATAGGCGTATGTTGTACCATATTAGATGTACGGCCTTGACTACTTGGGCTGCCTATGGTGTACACCACACAGGCCCACCCCGCACGGCGTGCGACGAAGGAAAGCAACCTGAATCGCGCTGACCCAATCATTGATTGACTCATGATGGACAGATACAATTCTGTTGAGATCGTAGTGGATGGCCGAAATCCTGCACCTAAGACTCCCGGAATGATACGATTCCCCGTAAATACCAACAAACGTTATGGTTTCAATGGTTCTGAATACTATGCCCCTCCTCATAAAATGATCAAGGTCTGTCCCGATTTTCTTGCTGCTCACTAATTCGGGAACGATAAATGAAATGAAGCCATTGGTCTCCAAGGAAGCCAGTTTCACCATAGTTGTTAGGACTATATTCTCTTAAAATGATCACAGGGTCCAACCACTCAAGGAATAACACATGGAAGGAACCCAGGCTTTGGTCTCCCACAAAACCCACCGTTGGATGGTTTCTCTTGGGGTCAGACTCCGTTTCTCATTCCAAACGCCTAATGGAAGGAACCCCGGCTTTGGTCTCCAAAAAACCCACCGTTGGATGGTTGTTCTCTTGGGGTCAGACTCCATTTGGCTGTGGCTCAAAATTAAAAACCTAAGCTTACACAGTTGTTGGTCTTTGTTTCCATTTACCAAGGTGCCTATATTACATGTTTGTGAGCAGCCGTTTCCCCTTAACGCCCATCGAAACGCCAAAGCGATCCGACAGGCCGTGGCCAAGTCGGAGGCCTCCTGCGAGCTGCTGCAGGCGCTGCTGGCGGAGAAGAGGCCTTCGGCCACCGAGGCGCTGAACTTTGCGTGGCTCCGGGTGACCGCGGCTTGCCTTCCCCCAATGGCGATCACATCAAACCAGTCTGAATCCGATCCGTCTTTTCAAAGAAATGCGCAACCCAGGAAACACGAAGAAAGAGAGATCAACTAGGTCCCTCAGCTAGGTGCCCGACCTCTCACCCAACTTTTTTGGGGGAAGGAAACCCCCCTACTGAAATAGACTGCGAAGGAAAAAACTGGTACCAACTTATTCTAACCTCTCCACTCAAGGACCGATGCTTGCCATGGAAAAGTCGAAGCTTCTCGTGGGTTGTCGGTGTTCTTTTTTAGTTGTTATTCCGGCAGCTCGCTGGTTTCTCGTTTGTTGTCTTGGTTTCTCGGTGTTTTTGGTTTATCGTTTGTTGTTTGTTTTCTTCCACAAGTTGGCTCAACACAGCTGGTGATGGCTGACTGCTTGCAACACTTGTGTGTCGAGTGAAAGCACACAGGTCCGCAGCTTAGCGTTGGTCAGCCAGAAGCGCAACTAGTTCCAACAGCTCCGCCAGCCAAACTTACTGCGCTGCACGGGGTATCTTGCAAATGTTTGGCGTAAGATCCGCGAAAGTTTCGCGAAAGTCGATGGACCTCCCAGCCAGTTTCCGAACATGGGTGGCCAACAGGTCCCCTCACGTGCTGCCGCACGGCTTGTGAGCTGGAGCTGCGGGAAGTTTACTTTGAGTACTACTTCCGTATTTGAAAAGTGGCGAGTTTCGAGCCGGGGCTACGGAAGTGTATTTCGTCTACTTTTTGCAATGAATGTGAAATCAGCCACGCGGAAGTCTCGCGATGGGGATAGATGGCGTTGTCCGGAAGAAGCAAATTCAGTCAATCGTTGTTTGTTTCTTCGTTTGTTTGTTTGTTCGTTGTCTTTTGTTGTTCCTCCCTCCAACCGGCCGTCGTGCCGCTACTGCAAATACCAGTAGAACTTGCTTCCGCGCTGGAAACACTGGACATTGCTAGACTTAAATCGAGGCAGTGCCGCGCACACAGCCACAACGCCCACAATGCATGCAACTACAGTAAACTAGCTTATACGCATGAAAACAACAACTGCGTTCCAAACTTGCTTTTAACAAACCTTTCAAAAGCGACAACTTGCATTTCGGGGTCCTTTTCCAGGGTCTTTTGCAGTGCAATGGGTAGGTTGTATGCCGCTTGTTGCTTTTTAAAACCGCTTGACGAAAGGATGCAAATAACACTGCCGGGGCTGGGGAAGATTAGAAGGTTTGGGGAGCAGCCTAGATGACTTGGAGATGACCACCAGCCATTTGATCCCTTCCCCGCTCTTACCCAGGCCCCACTTCTCTGTTTACCAAAGGATCGTGATATTTGGAGCGAGTCTGCATCCTTTGTAGGGTTTGTAGGCGCTTTCATGATTTGCCCTGCCAGCGCAACTGATTTAATGTGTTGGTCGCACCTGCGCATGGAACAACTTGGGATGGATTCAGGGGAAAAGCAACCATGAGCATAGTTCGCAGAGGACTCAATGCCAAAGAAAGCGGCCAGCTTTTGCCCCTGTTAGCAGATCCCCCGTCGAGTCGCAACCGGTGAGTTTTACGTGAAGGCCGTTGTTGAGAGTTCCTTACTGGCTGCAAGTAACTCACTCAGATCCCGCCTTCCCCGATGAGATATCAACAAGAGGGCAAGGTCTTGCGGCCATTTGGGTGTGTGCTTTGTTGAGTTTGTTGGTTCAAACGAAAACCAGAACAGAAACCGTCACTTTGGTTTTCCTACTTGTAAAACAAGACGAGCCATTCATTTGGGGGCTATTGGTCACGTAGATCCGTCAAGATGGTTGATGTCCGGACACGTACTTGTGAAGTGGTAATGGGCCCTTTCTTGAATACGACACGGATCCCCAGGCGCGCAATCTTGTCAAAGTCGGCCTCGTGCTTTCATGTAGAGAGCTATGCGAAAAGGGCCGCCCCAGCCGGCAAACCCTGTTTTGGCCTCATTGCCGTTTTCCCTCGGCCTTGCCCCAACGGCGACCTGTTGCGAAACGAAGATCCGCATCCGAGGAATTCCTTGACCTGGCGGTGTCCAGGTCGAGCAAGACGGACTCGCCAAGTGAGTCGACGAGGGCTCCCTGGTCTTTTGGGCAAGGGAGAAAAGGACCCTGGTAGGCTGGGTTGTTTAAAATAGATGTGGCTATCCCACTACGAATTGCGAATTGCGGATCAGCCAAGATAGGATCATTTGGCATTTGTTGGTGTTTTTTTTTTCCTGTTTTTTTGTTGTTCTTCTTTCTTTTTTTTCCGGGTTTTCCGTTGAACCTCTTGAAGGTACATTCAGTGACCAGCCCGGTTGATTCCCTCAAGGAAGTCTGTTCCTCAAAGTAGGGGACCCATTGCAATCTATCATACTAGTTTCGCGTTAAACAACCACAAAGGGGTTCACCAGTTTGAGCAACAGCCAAGAGTGAACGCCATGTCCTTGAACTGATTCATCCGCTAGTTCCCGTCGAAGATGGGGACCCAGATCACAGGCCCTCCTTGAACTGTCGAAATTCCAGGGATTGCCAATGCTTTTCCGCTGCATCCACCTCAAAAAGTCGTTGACCTAGTTGCTTCGTTCAACAGATGTGACTCACCCCATTGAGCTCCAACTTCCCCGTAGGGCTGAGCCTAGACAACAAAAGCCAATGGTTTCTGGCTTCGTCAAGAAACAAGACGGATGATGCAGTAAGCCAACCACTTGGAATTGAGTCAGAGAGCCAGCCAAAATGCAACTAAAAGTATACCAGTTGTTTGAACATGGCAAGTGGGTCAACCATTCAACACGATTTGGTGGAGCAGGGCAATTGTTCAGTTCAGCAATTTTGCCAGCCAATTATCAAGCACACAGCCTGTGTTTCTTTGGACGGAACCTGGATGACGTCGAGAGGGGGAATTTGGAGATTCCGAGGCTTGGGAAGAGACGACAACTGCAAGATCTCCTGGTGCGAGATCTGCTGGTATGTCGAGCCGTCTTGGCCGCGCATTTTCCCGCATGGTGCCGAAATGCATCCGGCTGAGATAGCCGATAGCCTGACGGAAGCCAATCCTTTTTTTGGTGCCAGCTTGGGATGCAGCATGAAGCATGCCAACACTGGGAAATCCAGTTGAAGCTGGACACCAGGATCACCAGGAATGAGCTGAAGCAGCTCTATTCATTCTCACTTGCAGTTCCCGTCAAAGATGGGGACCCAGATCACAGGCCCTCCTTGAACTGTCGAAATTCCAGGGATTGCAAATGCTTTTCCGCTTCATCCACCTCAAAAAGTCGTTGACCTATTTGCTTTGTTCAACAGATGTGACTCACCCCATTGAGCTGCAACTTCCCCGTAGGGCTGAGCCTAGACAACAAAAGCCAATGGTTTCTGGCTTCGTCAAGAAACAAGACGGATGATGCAGTAAGCCAACCACTTGGAATTGAGTCAGAGAGCCAGCCAAAATGCAACTAAAAGTATACCAGTTGTTTGAACATGGCAAGTGGGTCAACCATTCAACACGATTTGGTGGAGCAGGGCAATTGTTCAGTTCAGCAATTTTGCCAGCCAATTATCAAGCACACAGCCTGTGTTTCTTTGGACGGAACCTGGATGACGTCGAGAGGGGGAATTTGGAGATTCCGAGGCTTGGGAAGAGACGACAACTGCAAGATCTCCTGGTGCGAGATCTGCTGGTATGTCGAGCCGTCTTGGCCGCGCATTTTCCCGCATGGTGCCGAAATGCATCCGGCTGAGATAGCCGATAGCCTGACGGAAGCCAATCCTTTTTTTGGTGCCAGCTTGGGATGCAGCATGAAGCATGCCAACACTGGGAAATCCAGTTGAAGCTGGACACCAGGATCACCAGGAATGAGCTGAAGCAGATCTTCTCACTTGCCAAGGCCTTGGAAGCGGAATTTTTGAAAGAATATGCATTTGACAGCTAAAAGTATACCAGTTGTTAGTGGTTAGTGAGTCCACCTTCAAGCATGATGTTGAGAGCAATCGTAGCAAATTGTTGGAAAGATTGATCAAGTCCTGTTCTGAGAGACACACTCCGTTGCTGTTCAGCCAAGAGCATCAGCTTCAAAGGGCACCTTGGCAATTTTACCGTGCGCCGGCTTGAGCTTTGAGGGCTCAGGCTTGGCGCGTGGGTTCCATTTGGGCGGGGCTCAAAACATGTCAATGTACCAACATGGCACACTGGAGCCAAAGACTAAGACCTGCGTAGCGGCTCTTGAATTTTGAGCCGCCGCATTTGGGACCAGAGAGACCCTTATATGGGCCACACCAAGGTTTTGGGCGCTCGAATGGAGTTGAGTGTGCTGGGCGCTTTGCACCCAAGCAGCCAACATGGCGCGATGCGCTCTGTTCTGAAGGCCTCAAACGGTACCTGCAGTGACGGATCGCAAAGTTGCCAAGATGAAAACCACAGCCTTATTCATTTATGTATTTATTTGTTTATTTATTTATTTTGACCCAACCTGAATGTTGCCAAAATATATTGTCATTGCTCAATCATGGGAACTCGCAATGCCAGTCAGTTCTTGTAACAAGACTCTTGAACATGTCTTCATCATATGTGGAATTTAGAACAGTTTCATCTAAAGAAGTTCAGAAGAAGCTTCTAGACGCCGTTACAAGTAGATGATAGTGGAAGGAGAGGAGAAGAGAAAGGAAGAGAAGGAAACAGAGACAAAGATGAGAGGTTGCATGTGTTCAAATTGCGTGGCAGGCGCAGCGCGACGGGATGGACAAAACAAATCCGCGACGGGTAACCACTCGGGGCTTTGAAGTAGCGCCGTTTGGCCAACCACCATGCGTGACGGAGGTGTGTTGGATGCTCGGCGACATCGAGGCGGAGATCGGAAAGCGCTGAAAGTTTCCGGCCGCAACAAAGCCAGCTAGGTGCCTGCTGGCTCTGCCCATTAACCCCCAAGTGATGGTACCGACGCAGAAAACAACAAGCCATTCATTTGTAAGGCTTGTAAAATGGTTTATAAGCAAAAAACAACACGCCTCAAATAAAGCCTTTTAATGGAAAGAGCCTTCAACAAAGTGAAGTGCTTTAACTTTAAACAAACGAAAGCACGGCCTCATATCCATTAAGTTTAATGTTTGAAGCCCCCTTTTACATAAGGTGTGTTGGACCTTCAGGAAGAACTGGTATGCGGGACCATGGTACACAAATCGACGTACGCGGACGATAGGACTCTAGTCTTTGGGTACACATGGTTTGTGGCTTAGGCAGTGGCCCCTTCTAGGTACCTTTTGAGGCCGTTCAATCGAGACGTCGTCGGAGTCGCTCGTCAAGATGAGCTACGATGTCCGATAAAGCTGAGATCTGGTCGCCGGTTTTCACAATGCGCAGGGAAGCAATGCATGAGGGGCAAAACTTCCACGATTTCGCGCATTATTGTAATTACCAGTTGCGAGATGGACAACTTTCAGGGGATGCCATAGGGATGGGAACAAGGCCGCCTTGGCGCTGCTTGATGCCCACCCCGTGCCGTGGGCCTTTACATGTGGCCAACACAAGCCACATGAATCTGGCAGCAGCGGCTGCCTGCAATGTTCTTCACACAGGGCGAATGGATTTCCCCTGTTTCAGCTCCCATTGGGCAATCCCACAGACTGGCACAAGTCCGGCTAAGGGTCAGTGGACAGATTCTTCGGCCTCTACAAGTGCACCCCTCTTGGCGAGATGCCACTACTAAGGCAAGTACACAATGGTGTCACGCGTTCTGGACACAAGCCCTCGATATTCATGCTCCCAGTGGCAAGCATTTGGTCTCATTTGTTTGGCGGCCTCACAAGCCGGCGGGTGGAAATGTCCCAAAACATTTAAACTATATTTCTATCTATCCTTCTTTGTTTCTAATGTTTATATCGATCATCCCCATCATTGCCCTCTGTTGTGGTTGATTTCCTTGTTTCCTTCCTCCCTTTGTTTTCTTTTCTTTATTTCCTTATATTTCCTTATATGTCCCTTTGGTTTCCTTCTTTATTTCTTTCTTTATTGCTTTATTTCTTTTTTTTTTGTTGTTCTTCCCTGTATTTTGTCTTCTGTTCTAGTTCCTTTGTTCTGTCGAGTATTGTCCGAGATCGTGAAGCAGCCGGCCAGACCTCGCGAAAGTACTGCGCCGGCCATGACATTTGTACCTGCCCTTGCGAAAGTGCTGCGTCTGCCTCTGTTCCCTTGGGAAAGTTCTGTGCCCTGCCACAAAATGTATGCCTTACATTGCGACAGTGTGGTGCCTGCGATGGAATCTGTACTTCGCCATGCGAGCGTGCTGCGCCAGCCACAACGTCTTGCCTTGCCTTGCAAGCTGCGCCGAACTTTGGGAAAGTGCTGCGCCTGCCACGCAACTGTACCGGACTTTGCCAACTTGCTGCGCCTGCCACGCAAACTAATGTGGCGAAAAGTGTGTGCTCCCTTGCTGATGAGCCCGGCTCTGAGAGTGCTTTGGACGCTCTTTCAGCCCGCTCCAACCAAGCGCCTCGATCAGGCTAACCTCCAAGCATCCGAAGCAACTGAAACACGCAGAAGGCTGCACTTTTGAGACATGTTTATTTCCCCCCGCGCACGCATGTTGTTGTTGTTTTTGCGCCTGCTGATTCTTCGTTTGTCTTCTGTGAGACTGTGAGAGAGCCAGCTTAGAAACTAGTTGCCGTACCACGCAAGTCCCTTCCAAGTTTCCTTTGACAAAGATTGCAACCTCACCGGTGAAGGTTCCTTTTCAGTCAGAAGTACCATGTCAGACGTGTCATATGTTTGGCATGAAATAAGCTAGACAGTTGTAGGTGTTCACTAGGAATTCGCTGAACTCTAGGAGTATGCTGTTGCAAGGCGGGCTACACATGTGTTTCGTATATGCTGCATATGTGTTCCTGGCGCCATACGCATGCTGCGTAGAAATATACAACACATAGGATTCACGGGCTGCACGTTGTGAGACAAACATTCACTAGACATGTAGGTGTGCCAGAATCTATTTTGAGCAACAGAAACACATCCGTCATGCCACAAGAGCCCTTCCTTGAGGTAGGCCCGAAACGGGAATTGAGATAGCAAAGGGGAGCCATAAGAAGGTCGTGGCTTTTGCTGTTTTCGAAGCTCTTGATGACCCAGTGGCCAATGGTCCCTGGGCTGCTATGACCCCGCGACTCGTGACGAGTCGAGGAGCCCAGGAACTATGATCACATTGGAAATTGGTTTCCCGCTCTTTGGCCTCGCTTCGCGGACAGCAAATGCTGAGGAGTCTCACTTGCCAAGTTTCCAAGCACGTGTTGAGAGTTGGCCTGTTGGCGTTTCTTACTTTATACGTGTCTGGTATGTCTTGAATGTTCTACTGGAATTTCCCCAAGGGTCGGTTTGCTCAATATGTGTGGGTCAAGAATGGGTACCCAAAATGGAGCTTTGGTAAATGGAAACATGGACTAGTGGTTTAATTTTGACCCACGCCCATATGGAGATTCTGGATCTCACTTTGGCCGATTTGCTTTAGGGGTCTTAAATCAACACTGTGCGGGCCAGAGTCCATCCAGACCCTTCGGCATTCAGACTTGGGCCATCCCCAACCCGCAAATGCAACAACCTACACCGGCAAAGGGAGATAGGAGCAACGTCCAAAACCCTTCATGCAAATGTTTATGAGTTGTGTCATATCGACCTGTGCGCAAGGAAAGCTCCACGTGTGGGTGGCGCAAGCCGGTGGCATCTAAACCTGCGCTGCGGCCTTTGCCATCTCTTGTGTTTTTCGGTAGCTTGCCATGGTTCAGACCTCACTTGAGCATGTTCACTGTTTTCTCGGCAGTTTTCAGCAGTGCAATCAGTCGTGACGGTCAAGGAGACTTCTGCCTCGGAGCGAGCTGCAACTTGTGGCCCCGGTTCTGGGCCCAGTCAAGGGCTTGCAAACCTTTGTGGAACCGAACGGTGAACGTGGCAGGTCGCTAAGTAGTAGCTTCTTGGCGCGTTGGAGACCTCATGTTATTCCTTTGTCAGGTTGTCAGGCGGTAATCTCGCCTTCGCCACGGAAAAGCGGCGGTACCCCGGAAGATCATGAAGCGATTGCTAGTTGGCGGCCAATCAGATCCTTTTGAAGTGGGATATGGTGTCGCCTTTCGTAGTCATGTCTTGCTGGGGCTCAGCAGGGAATGGGGCAGTGACCCCTATAAACCATCCCTTGTGGTTTCCTTTACGGGGACCCCAGGTTCATTTTCTCATTCCCTACTGAGCACCAGCAAGAAATATGTCTTGCATGTTTGCCTGCTTACCTTGTTGGCTCAGTTGAATCAGTCTGGCAATGCTAAAGTATTGTCAAGTGCTGTAATTTGTAGGCTCGGCGTTGCCCTCTCACCCGCCTATGTTGAATCCGGCTAAGCGACCCAGAGGACCTGTGTGGACCTTGAAGGCAACTAAATGCCTTGCCTCGCAAGGAAATCTGGCAGTATCTCATGGGCACTTGTTTGCTTGTTTGCTGCTTGCTTGCTGGCTTGACCTTTGCCTTGGGACTTCTTTGCCACATGTTAGCTTTGCCTCAACTTTGCGGTCAATGTGGTTTTGGTGGCTATTAGGAGCCGATTCAGAAGCCTGAAGATAGCCACGCTATGGAATTTATAACATATATATATAATATATACAAGCACACTCATATTGTATACAGGAAAGGGGCTTAGGCTGGCAAACAGTTTGCACGCTTTATGGTTGGGTTCAGCTGGGAGTGGGCAACTCCTCGTGGCGATTGGCTCAAGCGTGTGAGCTACCGCACCCAAAGCGTGTGAGCGGAAGCCGAGGCGTGAACTGACAGATCCAAAGTGCAAGCTGATTCGAGAACGAGCGCAAGCCTCAGCAGCGGAGAACCCAAAAACAACGAAAACAAGTTGCCACATCGAGACCAGCTCATGAAACTACGAGTCAAATACAGCTGGCCGAAGACGTCCCAAGTTTGGGTAGCCGTCGGCCATCAGAAGCTCTCAGCAAGCCATGGCACCCAAAGTGCGGAAGAGACTTGGTTAAAGTTGGCAGCCAGAGCCCTTGAGGGGTGTCTTTTGCCTTGTGCCACGGTCAACAGATCTTTGTACTTGGGGTTTCAATGGATGATCATGGATCCGTCGTTTGGAGTTTGACAACTAGTACGATATTTATTCGGGGAACCATAACAGGGCCTGTGGAGTTTTGCTCGCGGTCTGGCCCTTTGTCTGGTCCCGTTAGTGACACTATGACACTCAGTTTTCTAGGGGTTAGGGTTCCCCATACTACCCTCCGAAATAGAAGTGTGTTTTGGTCTCAGAGGAACATGCTGGGTTCAAGGCGGGGGTGTTGCCGCGCTTCGGATGTCTAGCTTCCCCCACTCCCCTCATCATACTGATTGGTGAATCATTATAAGTCGCCACATGAGGCGCCGGAACATCACTGCGACATCACCAGAAGATGGAAAGACAAGCGGCACACCACTGGGACAACGCTGGGACATCACTGAGACACCGAAATACAACCCAGACAATGTCGGGACATGTCGGGACAGTCACCAAGACACCGGGACAACATCGGCGCACCACCAGGACACCAAAACACCTCGACAGCACTAGGCCAACATTTGGAAGCAGAGGGACACCAGCGGGAAACGACCCTGACACCACCGGTACAACCCGGCCCACCAGCACCAGCACCAATACAGCTAAACCAACAGCCGGGATACCACTGGAACACCAGAACACGCCGCGACAGCACGTCC